GCCGACATAGAATATAATAAACGTATACTCGATCAACTCGGTACGACACCATATAACAGAGTGCTGTTAACCAACAAAATCAAATCGAACGAGACTACAGTCTACACTAAACACAACCGTGTTGAAAACGCTCTATTTGGAGTACTTTGGATTCGCACAATATTGACCTTGGTCGTCAAACAACCGTAGATACGGCCAACATCTTTGACGAACACTTATCTAGTACCTACTTACATATTGTCATAGACACGGTATGTTTCTCAGAAAATTTGTCGGATAAGCACTATAAATCATTACTAACCGCATAGTTTTAACAAACGACCCATGAGCCAAAATAAAAGACCCAAATGGAAAGAGTCCTATTTTTCAAACGAAACAGCCACCAAGTAAATGGCGACTACAGTTTTTAGCTTCGATGCTTATCATCGGCGAAAACCGTAAAGTTTGAAACATTCTTTGACGTCACTTATATTATAGTGTGATAATATTTGACAAAAAGTGGAAATTGTTGAGACAAAGGCCTCTACTCAAGTATAAGCGGTTGCATAATAGGCTCATCGACACGACCAATATAGGACACAAATAAGTATATTGCACGAAGACAATAATATATGAACTGTCATTGGATCAATGGTTTATAATTTGTTTATGACGGTATCAAAATGTGTGTTTACATAAGCAGTGCTACGGGTCAGGCTGAGTAGGCTAAATTATAACAATTATAAGATTTAATGTCCATAAGTTAACTTTTAATATAAATTGGCTACAATTGCAACTAGAGGCCGTCAATGACTCTTATGTTTCATTAACCTCGCCTAAAATACATTTATAGTTAAATTGCATTGCATCGAAGCACAAAGAACCTAATATATACATAAAAATTATGACAACCATACAAAATAGTTTTAAAAAAAAAGTCTACCAAAGTATTAAATAATTGCTAGGAAAAAATGTTGAATATATCAGAAACTCTAAAAGAGTAATTTGGATTAAACGATCACTTTTCTTCGATGACCAACATAACACTACAAATACACTTGTTCTTGATTGGATATTAACCTTTGACATAAGACACTCTATTTAGGTTTATTGGCACAATTTAATGCTGAGGTTTTCCGATGCACAACTTCAGTAATAACGTTTCCAATTATTATTTAAAAAAACATGTGTTTTTGTAAAGAGATTTGTAAACTTTTTACATACAAGGCCTGTTCAAATAGAAGCGTTTAGCTCATAACATATAACTTGTTTTATATTATTTTAATTCAGTTTCGAAACTCAGCTAATTCTTTTTAGTTCTGATGTGGAAGTATAAGAAGTTTTTTTTTGTTATAAATATATAAGTAAGTCATACTGTATACAGTTTTTTTCTATACATTTCTTACATAAAACTTCCGATTCCTGACAAAAAGTCAAAGGACAAAAGGTCCTGTTTAAAAAAAGTTAGATAAAAGGCCAAGATGGAGTATTGAAAGTTGGAGTAAGAGTCTGAATATAATAATATTTATAACGTATATTGTATAAAAAATAAAGTCTTAATCGACGCGTGGATCATTAAACCTAATATATTTTTCTAATTAAACATTTTAAGTTCTTAGTAATTCACCAATCAATGTTACTCAAGCACTGTGCATTTTTAAAAAAAACGTTTAAGCATTTCTATCGCATGGAACATACAAGTTTATTATGTTGTAAAGTGTAGGAATAATTACTGTGCACAATTTTTTTCCTACTTTTAAAATAAAAAAAATATAGAATTAATATACCTCCTACAGACTTCACATAAAATAAACTAAGATAACTGTTCAATAATAAAAACAGTTTTTAACTAGAGCTAATAAAATATCTGATTTTTACGCAATACGCATTTTTTTGTTTTGATAAAATTACATATTTTGTACCTTTTTTTTAGTAGGTATTTGTTTTGCACTGTGGTAAACATAGTATGAAAACTACATTTAAAAATATATATATTTATGCACAGCAGGATATGGGATATGTACATATAGGAAGGTTTAGATTTTATAATAGTTTTACTGTTGTATAGATTTAAGGACTGATGTCGTAGAATTGCTCGCTTATACAATAGCCAATTGTCTGTGATCTATAAGAGAGATAAGTGTATGTAAGGGTTCGGGTTACTTTTTGCTTTCATGCTGGTAGTGGAGCTATACCCGCACAACATATTAATCCATATAGTGTCCATCTACCTGAACGCTATCGACACTCATACGGAATATTGCAAACAGGAGAAACTGAATTGGCCAAAACGGTAGGAATTCAGGTAAAAAATCGAATAGACTTATGTTTGGTGAAAAAATGTTGGCCTTTTTATTAGGTATTGTTATCAATTATTTCTATAATAATATCAACCAAACGTGGACAACGACGAACCGTTAGAAGAAATCAGTGCACGTCTTCGATTAGATAATAATAAAATTATAAAAAAAATATCAAAGAAGGAAAAAAAAAATGTGCATAATATGTTTAACGATGACAGTTCGACCTCAAGACAAAACACGAATTCGCCGATTAAGCGCGACGTACTTGAACAAACACATATACATATAATATCTGATACATCTAAATAATATACAATATCGAACGACGGATTTATATTATTCACTGTGGTCAACCGCTATGTTATTCATAACAACAAAAAAAAAAAACAAATATTCCAACAATAACCTATACGTTGGAGACTATAATATTTATTATAGACTTTTTTGTTCTCTGTAAATGTTTTCAAATTTTTCGGTCCTCTTATTTTTGAAGCATGCGTTTATACTTGAGTAAGTGTAAAACATGTTGTAATAATTCCAAAAGTCTACTAAGCAACATGTGCATATTTTATCAGGTCCTGAAATATAGTCTAAATAATATTGTATAATAATATATTAGGTGGCACGTGTGGAGCTGGTATGTAAACTTGAATTCCACTTAAGGACTAAAGTTTAAGCGATTTTCGAAAAATCTCAACTAAAAGCCAAACCCATAGTCTAAGGTATACATATTATTACAGTAATGACAATTCCAGCTGTCTCACTTCTATATATTATTTCTTGCCTACCTTAGACTTGTACATTATTTTGAATAAAAGTTTCAAATTTTGAACGAATCAAAATAAACAAATGAAAATATAATAAAATATGATATGAAATTCTAAATAATATTTGAAACAGTAATTACAAAATTATTTGTTACTGTAAAATATAAAAATGTACTTAAAATAATTAAATTTTAGGAAATTAGTATTTGTTATTTGAATAATAATTACCCAAGTTTGGGATACAGTTATAATTTTTTTTTTAATGTTTCTCTAAATGACACCCATCTGTCACACAGCAAAAGGTTAGTTTCGAAAATGCTGAGTTTTGTAAATTAAAAATACTAATTAAGACACTGCTCTGCTTTTACAACACACAGACAACTCGATGCTGTTGAGTTCCTGCGGATTAATCTATAATGATTTTTTGTGAGGCTTTTTGAGTGTGACCATACAAATTACAAATAAACGCCGAATATATTATATTATATTTTTCGAATTTCGATTAACCAATGATTACACACGCACATATATGTTAACGAACTGTTGATAAAAATTACTATTACAATTAATCACACCGAATAGGTATTAAAAAAAAAAAAATCCTAATAGATATTATTATACAGTCAGTAATTATTAGACACACATGAGATCACTGCGGTGTAGATATATGTAATTATTGGTATTAAAGGTGTTGGGTTCGTAGAGATTTTTTTCGTGTGCACTGATGTGTAAACGCGTTAAGCCTAACATAACCTATCCCAGCGAATTAAATATTTATGTTTTTTTATAATATTTTCTCGGTATATATATTATTACACATATATATATGTGTAATGTGTTTATGTGTTGTGTGCCCGATTATACGTGAAATCTTATACTTGAATGACTAATTATGTTTTCACAGAAATGCGACACAATATTGAAACATCATGGCGTGTATCATAGATAAACATATAATGATTTCACACAAATATAATGCGCACAAACTGAAATCCAAAACTTAAAAATATCAAATTGTCGAATAATACCCACTTATTATTACGTCAATGGCGACTACCTTCGTTGGGTGAACATTTTCATTGCGTATAACATGGTGTTATATTATTGACCTTGTATGGTATTTTACCTAGTGTTATTTACTTGAATTTCAGCGTCTGGTTTTTATTTGTATACCTACCTAACACTGTATAACCGTCGCGAACAAGACAAACGAGATGCGATGGTCACCATAGTAGTCACATACCTAGTCTTCCTTATTATTACAATCGATATCCTTATTTCCAATTATTGGGATGCGTTTGGTCTTGGGTCTTATCAATGCCTACACAGGTATGGTCTAAAACTATGTCCAAGGAGTTCTCTGACATTGTACGTTTAATATTGTGCAAAATAACTCGAGTAGGTAGATGAAGAAAATGCCCATTCTCAGAGATCACATCTAATCTGGGATTTAGCTAAAAACTATGGCAAGGCATTATTTATAATTGTACTTTAATTTAAAACTATTATGTTCTTTTTTTACAATATAACACATTTTCCGGTCGAACGGTCATTGTTTTCTGTAGGTTATTCTCAACTAAAATACATATATTCATTACCATTTTATTGTTAACCACTTTTGCATCAAATCGACTATTTGAAGGTGATCTCATATTTTCATCACTTTCAACTAAAGCCCTGCGACTCCTCTGCCACTACTAAGCTCTGATCCCACTATGATGGCTTTTGAAGCCTATACTACATTATAGAAAATATTTTTAGAATAACAATTTAAATAAGGTAAGACTTTGTAACATTATGTAGAAACGCAATAGTTAACATAATGCGTTTAAGTCAGTGTGATACGGTGAAAGTCTCCAAAATATAATATTATGCTTGCCTGTTGTCACGGGAACATCGACTTAACGGACACATTCCAAAGTCAACCGCGGACTTAGTATGATTTTTCATTCTGTTTGGTGTCTATTAATCACATCGTGTTTGTATCAGTCTTGGTAAAATGCTGTCTCGAAAAGAAGAACTGTTTGTGAAGCCTTTCCAACAGAGATTGTACCATCAGCATAAATCCAAAGTGAGTGTGTTGCCTACTATACTTAAGCGAAACAGTGGTAGAAGTGCAAAATAATATAACATATCACTGATTGTGAGTGATTAATATTATTGTAGCCTACAAAAATAGACACTAGAGAATCATATTTGTAGGTATTTTTTTAAAGCTCTGTAGAAAAAGCAATTTTTATATTATAAATAACTATTTGTTAGCTATTTAATTACATTTTTTTTTATATTTCTTGATGAAAACAGCAAATTTATTTTACTAACAGATTGGCGTTTATTTCGGTATAAAAATATAGAATAATCTAGGTCACTGCGTAAATTTTGGATGTAAGCATATAAAGTTGAAAAATATTGATATTAACTGTAACGTTTGGTGACATCACTTTGATAATGTCAATATAATAATATAAGACATTATTAACATTTACAAAATTGAAATCGGTCAATCTTGATTCCTGTGTAGTAAAAAAATGTGTTGTAAGACTTCATAATAAAGTAGTGAATTTTTTCCAACATATTATGGAGACAATTAAAATTTAGTGGTCTTTGTCTATGAAATCTGGTAAAATAATTTTTTGTTCGGGATATTTGGGTTCAACTAAGAATACAATAGTTACATGAATAATAATGTGGTACCTACACAATATGTGTACAATGGATTTTACTTATAATTTACAGCTCAAGTCGGCCACGGCTCGAGTGGACAACACTCCGCCCCAAGAATGGAGTCACATTGTGAGGAAAAAGAAAAAATTTCAAAAGGAAAAAGAGAGATGCACTCAGATATTGATTAACAACAGTATACTGTGGCAGCACTTGAACAACATAATGAGCACTAGCAGAGTGGACAACCGCTGGGATGGCGAACAGCCCAAGTAAGTTAGATATGTCGGTTTAGTTTTACATTTTCCACATAATAATCATACAGATCCGGCAGTGGGCAAAATCGAATTTAAAGGATAATATTCCAAATGACATGACAAATAAGAGGAAGTAGTCGGCCGGTGTAGTGTCAATAATAAACCTGCATCCAAAATTAATAATACATTTAGGCGTGGTTCCAGGTCAAATCGGTAGGGTGTGGTATCGAATCAAGACCCTCAAGAGACGCTTTACTTAACAATACCAATATTTGTTGACCGACTAATAAAAATAATAATAGAAAAAAAGCTGTCTGAAAATGCCAAAAGTTTTTCTCTGCATTAATGCACAATAAACAAATAATAATCCGGTTTATTACAAGACAAATAGTGGTCGCTCGTCTGACTGGATTACTCCTAAACCGGGGCATTATTTAAATTAACACTTAAATAATAAATAAACAATTTTATTTTTATTCGAACCGATCAAGTTAAAAAAATCATTTAAATATTTCTAAAAAATATAACGCACTTTCTATGTTTGATTAAATGTATTTAAATAAATATTCCAATAATGAAATCAAATTTATATTTATTTAAAACAGTAGAATACAAATATATTCAAGTAATATATATTATTTAATTTATGAGTTATTGAGTAGTGGATAATTAATTATTTGATTTGCTAAAAAATAATGTACTTCATATATCTCAGCCAGAGGTAGATTGTACTAGCCTATTCCTTCAATATCAATTTCTAGCTACGGTTCTGTATAGTTAATTTGTCAATATTAAAAGTACCAACATTATATAATCCAAAAACGTTAGGCATTATCCCAGCAAGTGACCTAGCGTCGATTTTTAGTTTCATTATTCAAAATTAACTTTGAAATTACATTTATTTCAAAACAACGTATTTCCATCTTATATAAAATATTAAATTAATTCGATTTATTAACTAATTAAACGCCATAAAATGTTTTTTTTTTTGTTAAGATCTTATATTAATCTTTTTATAAATATAATTAATAAATTGAAAGTTAGAATATTTAACAAAGTTATTGGATTTAAAAAAAAAAATTTTAATTAAATTAATAAACATATTTTTGAGTACAATATTATCATCAATTATGAACTTTTATCATGCACATTATTTGTTATAATTTTGTAAAATGAAAGAAGTTGATTTTTTACATTCAGTATAGGTACGCGCTTTTGGAAAATAATTTCAAATGTAAGCTTGACTGACTAAATCTGACTTCATCGTCGTCTTTACTATGAAAACAGTTAATTTATGGTGAAACCAAAATTGGAAAAATCGTTTGGGTTTTTGTAATTAGCACTTATGGCACGCTTGTTGCCCAAAGGGGAGACAAAAAAATTCAAATACGAATCTCGACAAATTCAAATTCTTTTAAAAATATATTATTTTAGATATTGTCATCGAGTCAAATTGTTTATAAACCGCAGCGACAAATTGACGGTACGCGTCGAAGACCAGACATCCGCCGACGCATTTCCTTTAGAAGGAAAGAAAAAGAAATGTAGTGCTTGCAATCCTTATTTCCTTCCGTGCAAGGTAATTTAAAAACTATTAGATATATAAATATATTAGGTATATACAGGGTGAAAATTTTATCGTGCACCACACAATATCTCATAGGGTTTAAGGGGACGGAAAGTTTAAATTTTTTTACAAATTAAGATCAAAACGCCAATTCATTTTCTAAAGTGTCTGCCGGACAGATAAAAAAAAGTGTTTTTTTGTTATATAGCTTAACATTTTTTCTATAGGGTCTAAAAGAAAGAATTTTTATTTTTTTTACCAAACCATGTTATAAGCACTTAGATTTTTACTTTTTTTATAATTTTTTCTAATAATTTTACTAATCTTTTAATTGTTATTCGCTAAATCAAAAATTGGCATTTTAGCCCCCATAGAAAAAATAGCAAGTTTCACATAATAAAAAGAAAAATTGAAATCCGTCCAATAGATACGCAAAAAAATTACTTCCACGAAAGTGGAATTTTTTATTAAACTTTGGTCAGAACTCAGAGAAAAAAACCTTTAAAAGTTTTATAACTAGAAAAACTCAATATTTTTTCACCTTAAAATTAGTCAGCATATTAAAAATGGCTACTAGATCAATATTTGTCAAATATTGCCTATCCTTTGCCACTTAATAAATAGCGCTTTCCGTTCCCCTTAATAAGATATTTAATTTTTATTTCCATAGTGTTTTTGCATAATGTGATCTCAATTTTTCAGAAACTTTTTTGTTTTTACAGCCTCTCAAACAAATTATTTTAATATCAACTTTTAAAACTATAATGTTATATTTTATTAACTTTTTGAATTAAGAATTTTTTACTAAAACGTTTGATTGGTTGATAACCAGTTTTGAACAACTATTCTTAAAGTTATAAGAGTTCAAAAGTTAGGACGGGAGGGGAAGTGAGCGCTAATAAAAATAATACCTACTCCACTGCACCTTTCCTTCTGCCTTAGACTTGATACTTGAATAACTTCAAAAATACTTATCCAAAACTGGTTATCGAACAATGAAACTAATTTTTAGTACATTATTCTCTCAATTTGAAAAGTTAGTGAAGTGTATGCGTTAATATTTATAATTCAAAAGTTGATATCAAAATTATTAGTTAATGAGGAGGATAGGTACATCAACACCTGTGGTTAATCGAGATCGCATTATAGAAACACTATGGAAAAATAAATTCAATTATTAATTAAACCCAAATGAGATATATTGAGTGGTTCGCGATAAAATGATCACTATCCGTATGGGTAAATAACTAAACGTGTTAACTTATATTATTATTATAACTATCTGTCCGTGTAGACCGAAGTGCCAGAAGAGCGGATCCCGTGGGAACCGGCCAAAAAGAAATTATCGAAAAAACTCCAAAGCCTTTCCATTCAAAACGAACCTGCGGTGAGTCGTTTGTCCAGTACAACACTGCCCAAAAACCAAATTGTTGGGAAAATGAGTTTTTTTTTTTGTTTACTTGATGTTTTTCACCCGGGACCTAACCCAATGCGTACTTCCTTTTTATAACATAAAATATAGGCATAGTAGTATACAAAACAAAAACCCTATTTCGATTTGTAGACCGCAAACAAGCAAAACGTTTTGTCGGATTTGCCAAAACCGAAAACGAAGCGTGCGGTCGACACAAAGCTACAACAGGACAGGCGAATCAATTATGTTAAAAACAACTTAACCGTGGAAACCGACAACTATGTGAACTACATTGAGATCGAAGAAGGCACTTTGGACGTAGTGATCAAGTACCCGTCCAGCAGCAAAGTCACCGTCAACGATGGGATCAAAAAACGAATTTTGCCGCCAAACGACACCAACAACAGTTGTCAATGCAAACGTTGTTGACGCAGCGCTGTTATTCATAATAATTATTAATTATTTAAAATATAGACAAATTAGGTATTACAATAGAGTAGAGCACGGATTAAACTGCACTACAAAAAACACTTATAAAATGATAAATTTAGACAACTTTAAGATTGGACAACTTTTTGCAAAAAATGCCCTAAAACCTTTGTACAGGGTGTCCCACAAAGATTTGACAAATTAAATAACTTTTGTTCTAGTGAATGTTTTTAAGATTTTTTTTTTAAATTTAATTTATACTCATTTGCGCTATAAACACCGCGGTTTAAGGGTGGGATTGCACGCGGTATATTTTTAAGGATTTTTGTAAAGACAATATTTAAGAAAAAATGTGGTTTTAATATATTTCTACCATGTAAATTAATTTACCGGTTAATTTTTTTTATAAGCTTCACGGTATTATTTTTAATAAATTAAAAAGCCATACAAAATTTCGACTACATAGGATGGTCCAAGATCAATATTTTGCAAAGAGATTTGTACAGTTCTTTGGCTACTTTACTCTGCTATGTTATGTATAGAAAGCTAATTTTCATTAAAAAAAATCAGTTCCTTGTAATTAAAATATACATTAAATTAAAATTGTTTCAATATTAAAACCCATTTTTTTTTTACATAAAAAAGTAAAAATTCAAAAATCTGTTTCCTACACAATTTAGTAAACGTTGCCAAAGAAGTAAGAACTCATGATATATCTTTACAGTATTGAAATCTGTCCATCCTAAGTAGTCGAAATTTTGTCTGGCTTTTTGGTCTAAAACGTAAAAAAAAAAACAGCCACACGCAATCCCTTTTAACTGTTACTTTTTTAACTTCAAGATAGCCATTTCATTAAGACTAATTTGCTGAACATTTGTATTGGTCAATAACCAGTTTTAAATAGTCACTTTTAAAGTTTTAAAGGTCAAAGAGTTATTTTTATCTGCATGCATTACTCCACCTCCCATCCTAATCTTTAAACTTGAATAACTTTAAAAGTAACTATCCAAAACTGGTTGTCGACCGGTCAACATTTTCAGCAAAATCTTAAAAAGAAAATTATTTTATAAGAAAAACAGTTGGAGCAATACAAACCGTGATATTTATAGCGCAAATGAGTATAAATAAAATTTAAAAAAAAAATCTTAAATATATTCACTGGTTAGAACAAAAGTTTGTCGAATCTTTGTGAGACACTTTGTTTGTATAGAAAATTACCTAAAACAAAAACCGATTAATTTAGTTAGTAGGTCTTCAAAACGGTGTGCACCATATTATCGTGTGTAAAAAAAACGTTTAAACATTTTACTTATTATTATAATATTTTAATATACTGTTATACCAAATGAAATTTGTAGAGTGTAGACATTTTTTTTCAATAGCAGCGACGACGCACGTGAAATATGGATCTTGGCGAAGGTGCAATTTATATTATAAGTTCAAACTTCCACTGGTCCAGAGACAGATAGGGCGGTGATGAAAAGCCTATAAAAATATTGCTAAGCCAAACAGAGGTAATTAGCAAATTATTTAAAAAATGAGTAAAAAAGTAAAAAAAAAGAAGCTAATTGAGATGTGTAAATCACTAATTTAGATTCTGTTTTATAGCAATATACATTTGGGTCAAAACGAGATAAATGAAAATTAATTCCTGCCAATAAGAAATCGTAAAAAAATATCTAAAATCGCTAAAAAAAAAAAAATATTTGATGACTTTTTAGCCGAAATTATTGTATAATGTGCATAGTAAAAAAATTTATCATTGAATGTTGCACTTAAGAAAAAAGTGTACTAGGGCATTATTTAAATTAAACGTCCAATGATTATTAAAGATATATTTTTGTTAATTATAACAAATACAAAATGCATTTCTACTTTTATTTTAACAAAATACGTCCAAATTGAGATCTCAAATAATTTTCCAATGTCATCGTTAAATAAGTTTATATTTTAATTAAACTATTTCAAGTACAAAAATCATTTACATAAAAGTTTATTTAAAATCATAATCATATTTTTAGATACCTAGCAATTATAATAGTTTTATCTACATAAATAAAAATGAAATGTTGTTCATTGCTAATCGCATCACTTGTAAATTAATAATATGATTTTTTTTTTTTCAAACTAATGTAGACATTTTCCATGCTACTAAGTGAAGAACGGAAGCTAGAAATGCACAAAAATGCATATCCGTTTTTAAAAATAATAACGTTACACAAAGTTAGAGGTATTTTAAATATGTAAAAAAATGTGATTTTAAAGGTAAAATACTAGTTTTATTAAAATAATGATATGACAACTGTCTTGAAAATGTTGTCATCTTTTGTTTTCGTTGTGGATATTTTTGCTCTAAAATCATTATTCTTGTGTATACACAGTTTCAACTATACAAAATATATTTTACTCATTCAGACTCACGCCGGGAACAACAGCTCTTCATTAGCTATTATTGCCTCTTGCTAAAGATCCGTATCGAAAAACAACGGTATGGTCTATTCACTTAATCGGTTTACAAGACATGGCAAAAAATATTGACCTAACTTAACCAGACCAACTTATCAACTTACTTGCCACGACATTGTACGGTTTTGTTATATGAAACTGTTTAAATAGCGTAGTAAGTGAATAATTTTTCTTATATTTTATTCGGCTACACTTGTCGAAAAATATAAATGTTTGATATTACTACAAACAAAATAGGTACGAACAAACACAGAGAGAATGATTTGAACAAAATACCGAGGTAAGATACGAGAAAAGTATTTTTCGTTTTTAATTCTATAAATTATTTCAATAAACAAGTCTTGGTTATATTTTTATATATATATATATATATATATATATATATATCACATTAATTGTATATTTACTATTCTGCTACATATAAATAGTTATAAATATAAATACCAGGTAATAAAATTCAATTTCAGATTTATTCGAACACGTACAACGATATAGGTATTCGCAGAATAGAGTTTCTGTAATTATTATTATTATTATTTTTTAAAAATTATAAATATTTTTAGTAGGTTGCTGAAATCAAACAACCATATTTATGTGTAGAGTCAAAGTTGTTTATCGGTTCAAACGACAAGTAAATAAACGCATACAATTTCAATTGTATCGACCAACAACGAGGTAAAAAGACAATAAAGCAAAAGTTAATGGATTTTTTTTGTTGTAATTTCATTCGACAGCAGAGCACCGAGTATTTTTACGGTAAATACATTTTAAAAACAGACCAAAAAAAAAAAAATGTTCATATTTGTTTATTTTCCAAGTCAATTACAAACTTTTTTTTTTGTTATGAATCGATCGCTCGAAGAAAAAAAACACAATTGTTAGTAATAATTACGTAAACCGCGTTTTTAAATGGAAAATATTTATGGCGTAGATACAATAACAATAAAAAAAAAAAAAATGCACGTACAATACTCGATGTCGGCCGACAAAGTTTTCGTAACAAATTTGTAACATAAACAGTTTGTATAGGAAATAATGGTTGACTTTATTAAAAAGGTCTGTTGACAATTTCAAGAGAAAAAACCGAATAACAATAAATATTAAATACACAATAATATGGCTGCTAATAATATTAATAATAATAAAAAATAAAAAGAAGAAATTGCCCAATAATACGGGGGGCCCCCTTTGTTGTTGATTGCAAAAGTTTTTATTTGTTACGGTTTTTATATTTTATCAATAGTTTTTTTTTTTACGTCGAGAACAAAATTAATTACTATTTATTTAATTCAGTTTTTTTTTTTTTTTTTTATTGTAAAGCAGCAACGTTTAAAAATTGGCTTCAGTGGTTTATCTTTTAAGTCATAGTTACAAAATGTTATATGATTTGACTTTGACAAGTCTCGCCAACATGACGTAAAAAAAGGAAAATATATATATATATATTTCACAAATATTAAATTAAAATTTAAATTGAGTGTTATTCGCATTAGCGGCGTTGAATTCAAAGCAAGATGGCGGTTGCGTTGGCGTATTAGTTTCCTGCGAAAATTAAAAAAAAAAAAAATATTTATTAATATACCTAGTACATTTCTCAACGTAAAAGGAACACAATGTATTTTCTAGTGTTTATCAAATACACACCTCGGAAAAGTATCTCTCGATAATGTCAAAAGCAACTTTGTAGATCTCAACGCTTTCATGGTTTTGTAGTTGTTCAATTTTATCGAGTCCTGTAAGTCATAATAACATAACATATTATAAATATACATTCTCCGTGACCGTAATCTATCTTGCCGTTTATTTATATTTTACTTACCTTCACATTCTTCAATTAGATTGGCCAACGCGTCGACATCGGGACCGGCTATCTTCAACATATTCTGTATACCGTCCAACACGACTTGAATGACTTGACTATCCTGGCAGGACAGAAGTGCACAAAGCGGGGCGACGACTCCTGCATTTATGACGGTGTCTACTTGTTGGCTGTTGCCGCTGATGGTCAGATTGGTAATGGCCCAAGCGGCTTCTTTTTGGGTTTGGAATTCACTCTGCAATTGACAACGGTGAAAAAAAAAAAACAAATTGCATTTTTTTTAAATAATAAAATACATAGTTTTCTCGTTAAAATGAAAAAAAAAAAACTTTCTTTTCACGTACTTTCGACAGGTGCATTATTATTTTCGGTATCAGTCCGGCATCGATTACGGCTTGTACTTGCGCTTGATTGCCGGCAGTGACGTTCGATAGGAACCAAACTGCTTCCTGTCGGCAAAAATACATTGTAGAATTAAGACTATATTTTTAACCTAACAAAATGATCAAACTTACTTTGCATATCTTCTCTTTCGAATGCGTTAACAGTGCAGGGAAGTGGCATAATGCTCCGGCGTCAAGAACTACTTGTGTTTGATCGTCGGTTCCAGTTACGATATTTCCTATTGCACGTAACGCCGCAGTTTGCACCTGTCCACGTGGGTTCGATCAAATTAATAATTGATATTCAAGACATCATTTTTGACTAATCCAAGTAAAAAATACATCAAGTACTCGTATTAAATTGTTTATTACTCTGCTACACCGAAAAACATGGGCTCGTTGATACGTTTTTGGGCCAAGACAATTCTATATGCTTTTCCCTAAGGGAATATCATTGTTTTGCCCTTATTTTCAACCCTCCCTCTACCTACCATCCCTTCTCCTCACTTTCACTTTTATGTGTCAGGATGATACGGGAAATCCAGATAAACCCCCCCAGCCCAAAAACATATCCATTTTAAAAAGCTGCCAATCCAGTAAAAAAAAAAACAAAGCTTTTATTAATCTAGCTGAACAAAATATTTAAATACCTTTGAAATTTTTGTCGTTTAATAACGAAAAGAGAGTTAAAGACATTTAAGGTGAAATTTAATAACGATTTTTAACATAAAAATTTACCCCTACTTAGTTGAGTGTTAAAGTTGGCTATGTTGTTGTAAAAAATAAAAAATTGTAACTAATAACAACAGAGAAGTTAAAGGCCTAAGTTCTGAAAATTATAATGAAGGTAGATTTTAGAGCATCCTTTACTTAATTTTCTCAAAAATCTATAGTCAAACATTTATTTTTAAATTAAACACCCCAAAAAAGGGGAAAAATTCAAGTCAACAGTTATTTGAAAAATAGATTATGTTGTTGATTTGCCTATTGATAACGAATTATTAAGAAAGACAGATGATCTTGATCCTATCCAATACTGAAATAATATCCCAAAACTGAAAGCACAATTTATTACACATTTTTGCCTTCATAATGCTACTATGGGTATTTAATATTCCTACCATCTGCAGATTTGCATCGATGAGTTTATTTGAAAGTGATTTTATCACTTTCAATTATAACAATTCCTGAAAACCCGTGACTTCCCCGACCCAAATGTGCCAACGTGTGCTGTATTTAATTAAACATTTTCCAGGCTTCATTACGTTTTAAGCAGCACTTGTTTAAGGCAACTAAATTTACATTAACTATTATTTAATGGTAATTATTAATTTAACATTTACAACAACAAACCTTGACTTCTTTGTGTGACAACAACGGAATTAAATTGGGCACGATTCCGCTGTCGATGACTTTTTGAATTTGATCATTTCCACCATCGGTTAAATAGCTAATAGCCCAAACAGTATCGACCAAAATCTTCAAAACAAATAATTAAATAAGTGATATTAATATTAATTTATCGAAATATAACAAAAGTTTTCGTGTCGTCTTCCAAATAATAATAATTACATTGATATCTTTGTTGTTGATCAAATAATTGAGAGCCGGAAGAAGTTCGTCTATCACGTGTTGAGCCGGAGGAGGGTCTTTGTTACGGCACAAGTTTACAATAACCCACGTGACGTTACGCATAAATGTAATTGGTATGGTCGGGTTGATGAAATGAAGTAACCTGGGCACAACGCTCAAACTAATAACATAGTCACGAAGTTGGGGACCGTCACCAATAATATTTCCTGTGAATCATTTTTAAAATATATTTGTATCAATAAAAAATTAGCAATTCAATTTTCTAAAAAATGTCTCTTCTTCTTTATCTTTGCCTTACAATCCCAACTACATGGGGTCGGCCACCCTAGTCCTACACCTCCATAGAGCTCAATCTTCTAGATCTCGTCCAATCACCCCAGCTATCCTCATATCACTCTCTATTCCGTCCATCCATCTTTTCTTCGGTCTTTCTCTTTTTTCCTCTACAATCATCTTCATAACACCTCTCACTGCCTCTGCATCATCTCTTCTCATAACGCGGCCAAACCACAACGAAAAAATGTCACATTTTAAAAATTATTCAAATAAAACATAAAAAAAAAATTTTGCTTAATGTTGTACCTAATAAAATGTTGTAACTTTATTTATAAATTTTTTTTTATTAAATCAAACAATCTAACCGGTTTTTTTTAAATAAATAATTATTTGATTTTATTACTTACACTTTTATTTAAATAATAAAAAATGATTTAGTGCTAATATTGAAAATATATTTATAAATACATTTTTATTTTTAATAATATAAATTATAAAAATTTAAAATAATTCCAAACCGGATAGCGATAGTGCAGATTTTTAGTAAAAGTGTAGTTCTGTAAACAAAAAAATGTTACTACACTGAACTTTTTTCTTCGCTGTTAATTTATCAAAGATTTTTATTGACCCGTCATTATTCCTAGTACATTAATAGAAATAAGATTTTGAATAAATAAATTCTATGTCCAATTGTCATAGATAATTTTAGGTTTCAATTTTCACAGAAGAAAAATATTTGGTACGTAAAAGTATTTTTAGTTTAGCAAAGTGAAACCAAGGCGCCGAGCGAGCTAATTCTTTCAGACTCGGTGACCTACCATCCTATAGAGGGGAGGTTGAAGGACAAGTACTTGCTTCCTTAGTAGCTGTATTAATGTATAGTGATTTATTTAATTTAATTACCCTCCGATATTGAAAAAATAGGGGTGGGGATCCGAAAAAACTCAAGTAGCTCTTAAACTGTGTGTATTACTTACCTAAAGCCCAAACCGCTTGTTCACAAACTGTTTGATTTGTCGAGTTCAGTAAATTTAAAAACAACGGAACAGCTCCGGCCGAAACAACTGCTTGGGTCTGAAGGGATGTACCGCTAGCGATATTTGTCAATGCCCACGCAGCTTCAAATTGCAAAGTCGGACTAGTGGGGGGGTAGAAAAAGTGTGTAACATAAAATAAATAATTATTTCAATTTCAATTCGAAAAACTTACTTGTTATGTTCTTCTAAACACCGAACCAATATTGGAAGTATTTCACTATTGATAAGTTCGTCAATGGGCGGATTACGGTCAGAAGAAAGTAATTTTCTTGCCGATTGAATTGCCTTGAGTTGTACGTCTGGGATTTTACTGCCAGCACCTTCGACCAACGAACGCAGGTCGTGTTCTGTCAATGGTTTTTCCAAGTCCAAATCATCTGTAACTGCGATACATTAATTGTTTGGTCAATTACATTTTAAACTTAAAATGTGCCATTTAATTACCATTTACTGGATCGTTAACTACATCCGAAACATTTCTCCTTTTCATCAGCTCTTGCTCTTGTTTGTCTTTTCGTAAGCTAACAGTTACTTCACTTCTCATTCTTCGTCTTTCCTAAAATTGACAAAAGACAAATTTATGTTATTAAAAAGAAAATAATAACTTCAGTATATTTTTACAGAATAACAAAGATATTATATGAAGTAATATTGAAAAAAAAAAACAATTAGTATTGTTATTTTTTTTTCACTAAATCTGTGTAATTTAGCCAATTAGTATTATGTAAGTTATCATAATAAATTGAACGCTGACTATATCTGTCCCAGCGTCTTTATAAGCCGATTAAATTAATAAAAAAAATATTATGTGACATAGAAATTACTACTTTGGAAAGCACACGGCATAATTTTTTCTCAAAGTGTATAGAAAATATTGTTTGTCAAGTTATGATGGGTTAGATTAAGCACAGCAATAAACATAAGATTTGTAAGAAATTATTTTTTTCAATGTAGTTGATCACTTTTTATGTGTATAGTTTTAGAACATTATGTGTGAAAATAAGACTGAATTAAAGCTCGCCCAACGAATAATTTATACATAAGCATATTATTCTATCCTATCAAACTAACTAAACACTGGCTTTATAGACATTTCTATTGATATCTTATATTTTTACAGCTTTAGATTGAAATAAGTTCTTATGAGTGATTCAGTCACTGTGATAGCTATGACCAACTTTTATTGTTCGGGCCTTATTTCCGGAAGCGAATAATGGGCAATTAATTTACTGACAGATCTAAGGAGGCCAACTCTAACATAGAGATCGAAAAAATTAAAAACAAACTAATCGGCTGTCAAACTGAAAATAAATGGAAGGTGATAGGTCTCAACCTAAACTGAGATAAGATAAGATTATTTTATACAATTTCAAACAACAATAAATGCACTAGCTAGGTACAATATTAATTGCAGTGTCCGTCGCGACTTTCAGTACTCGTGTGGTAATTTATATATATATTTTTAAGTGTATCCTCGTGAATTGTGTGGTTTTTCAAATGACACAAATTGAAATTCAAATAGTAAAAAATAAACTTTATTTTAATGGTTATGTCATGTTAAAAATAAGCAGTTTCAAAATGGTTTTTACTAGGAATGTGAAAAAAGTAGCCATAAAAATGAAATTAAAAAAAAAAAATGATTCCGAAGCTATTGTAATGCTTGAATGGTTATTACAAATGAGAAACATGTGATCCAAGGTAAAATTCCTTTACATAATCAATTTACATTACAATAAACTAAATTTATAAACAACTAATTTAAATATTTTTCGGCCAATTAAGCCCTTTATCATGTCGGCTGTATGAAATTTGGCCAGATGACATCGGCTCTTAAATATTTTGGCCGATAAGATTCTATCTACAATTTTTTTTTATGTAATTGGTGTTAATTTTTTTCAAAAGACAATTATGCTTGACAAAATTTCAGTTTCTTCTTCTCATTATTCAATTTGACAACGTAACAACTAGAGATAGTAGGCGTGAAACAAATAAGGGAGCCCTAATAAGGAATATAATCGATGGTTTTACACGAAAATTTTAAGAAAACCATGTTATGGGAGAAAAAGGTTAAGTTACAATAATTTTGTGATAGATGCAGTTTAAAACAGTACATTAAAAAAAAAACCACACAAATATTAGCGTTTTGCAATGCGCGAAAATTGTATACACTATATATGGAGATCCATGTAGGGAAACAGCCCAATTTTACTTAACTCGTTAGATAATAAACCTCAAGAAGTGGTTGAAAGACATAGTTCCAATAAGTAAAAGCAGCACAAATATAACTATGGACAATTGATTTATCGCCATAAAGTTGATTTATATACAATTGATATTTATATTGATTTATGTACAAAATTTACCTATGTGGTAAGTTAAACTCACATAAATATGCCTCTGATCTACTTATAGTTAAAATACATCCTTTATTAAATCGTCGTTTATATAATAGAAAACTATAAAATTTAAAATTTTTTTGTTGAACTTGGAGCTGGTCTCAAGAGCTCATACATTTATTGAGAGTAAAAATTTTTTTTAACTTTCAACTATGACTGATCTAGACTGTCACATTCTAGTTTAAGTACTAGGCAGACAAAATAACACCAGTTTGAAGACGAAATAATAAAAACAAGATGTAAAAATATTTGGAATTTGTTAAAACTCAAATAAGAAACGAAATATGTAACACCTACACATAATGTTAACAATTTTTAGGATTATTACACGTCCCATAATAGAAATCGGTATTTTACTTGAACAAAAATGATAAAAATTTAAAAACCAGTTTATACGACATACATTCACAAATATTTGACATTTTTAAATGTCCCATTGCTTTTTTCGTGGTTCTTTTGGGATATATTATAGTATACTGTATGATTCTATAGAAATTTGCAAACATATATCTACACTAGGGTAATTCCCTACTTATTATTATCAATATAATATTATATGAATATACATGTAATATTAATATGAAAATAATCATGACTGTTAATTATAATTGTTACACATTTTTTTACTTTTGTCAAGTTAATAATATAATGTTTTGTAAGTAACAAATGCACTCGTTTGCAAAATAAAATATAGTCTTAAATTTAACCAAGTTAAATTTACTCATTATCCTTAAATTGTCGGTAAATTAATAATTTGAAAAATTTAATCCTACTCTCTTGAAATTTGTAATTTTTTTAGTTGTCATCAATCTTTTAAATTTGTGGTCATTTTTTTACATTTTTATGGCTGGCATAATGACCATTTAAGCAGCGGCCCGTTACGTTAAATATCACTGTAAATGAGGCGCGTTAGACGAAAATCATCAACACACTTTTGATTTTCATCTAAAGATAACTTTACGGAAGTTTTATTCGAGATTTAATTAGCGAACAATATTTCATTTCGTATCTAGATTGAATGTACGCTACGAATGGCTACTACACTTAAAACAACAGCAGTGAATTCACGGTCAGACACGACTGGTGAACACCCATGTCTGACCGTAACATGACAAGCTTGGATGTCGCTCAGATGGAAACAACGTCTGTAAGAATCGCTTACGACGAAATCAACGAGATCTTTTCAGCGTCGATACAGTATCGGGGGGAAAAAAATGAATAACGAGTTAAGGGTGAGAGGGGTAGGGGGATGCTGGTGGGACTCGTTGTTAATCTATTATATAATATTATAACGAGATATTATCTACGTTTAGAGTACTATTGTTGACAATAGGACAGTGTGAACTTACCATTTCGGTTTTGCCCCTGTGCTTGAAACTCTGCAACCGGTGTCCTATGACTTTTTCGTCTGACATTTTGCGCGATTTTTTTTTAGCCGCCGGGTCAAACGCAACAGAAAACTAATGGCGCAACGACAACAACAAACACCGTCGACCGGGTCGATACGAACCACACGAAAATACTATTTCAACAGCTATCTATCGCTAATGATTATTCGGCGTGCGACCAAGACAGGTAATTCGCTATGCGAACGTGCTGCGTGCGCGTCGGTTCACCGTGTGCGCGCGCCAAGCCGACAATCGCAAGACCGTTTGTTTTTAGCGGCGACTGTGTGTGTGACAATAATAATAAGAAATATTGTCGGCAAAACGGATCGGAATACAGCAATAATAATAATAATACAGCTAAATATATTTTTTTTTATATTATAAAAAAATTTATAATATCACGCACGGCAACGGTATTGCGATGATAAGCGCGAATGGATTTTTTTTCTACGATTTTTCTTTTTTTTTTTTCCTTAACGGCGAATCGACAACGGTGTACAACTGCGGTAACGACCAAGGAAAACCGACCGCATACTATCATTCGCCGGACGGACGAGCGGAGAAGACCTTTGAGTTTTTGCGCCGCGTAAAATAAAATTAAAATTCAATAAAAAAACGCCGATAATATTATTTTATCCGCAGCCTATCTCGCCAATGCGAACGCCGTACGCGCGTGCAACGATAATGTAACGATGAAAAGAAGGGAAAGGAAAAAAAAACACCTACATAATATTATCGACTCCCGTGCGGTAAACGCAGGGTTTCCGGGTTAGGTCCGGTCCACGGTGACGGCTAACCTCGACCGGGCGCGCGGTAACCGGCCCACGGGTAGGCGGGCAACGCGCGTTGTCGGCGACCGGCAAAATGGCCGCCCGCCCGGCGTCCCGTACAAACAAACGCGCGGACGGCCATTTTGCCGTTATCACCCCGGGCGGGCGCGCACACCTTGGTGGTTTTTTTGTCACCGGCAGCCGCGCGCACGACAGCAGCTGTTCGGGTGGAGGTACAATGGCGGAAAAATTCAAATAATCGAAAAATCCACGGACGCGGCCGTCCGGCTCGAGGAATCGTCGCGAAATTGTTGAAAACTGTAAAATCGCCGACCACCGAATAAATGGAAGACGGTTTCAGAGTAGTTCAAGACGGATTTCACGGTCTTACCTCCAGGTTATCACACGCGACCGCGGTCCGTCGTCGCCGACAGGTGGTGATAACCGCGTTGTTTGTCCCTCTCGGCATTACCAACAGCAGCAGCAGCTGCTGCAGTATGGGTACGTTTTGACAAAAGCAAAAACGCACAAAAAACCTTTTGTCAGATTTCCCGCCGTTTTTTCATCTTCCCCTCTCGCGCACACGTCCATTGTAGGGGAGTTACATACATTGTTACCCTCCGCAATAGCACCGTAGCTTAACTGTTGTTAATACTACCCGAAATTTGGGCAGATGGTTTATGAAAAAAAAAATCACGGCCCTCTACTAAAAATACTAGCCCACCAGCTCGACCCGAACAATAAACTATTGAAAATTACAGGAAGCGTTGCACCTTTTCCTTTCTTTCTTTCACATACCTATACTTAACATTACCAACTACCAACTGTATTGTAGATTATTTTTTTTATTCTGTACAGAAATTTTACAAAAAAAAAAAATATATATAAGTATTTTTTATTAGTTTATTAAGTATTGTGTTTAAAATAGAAAAAATACTTTGGCTAAAAAATGTATTTCACATAATATTATATCATTAAAAAATATATTATTAAATATCTACATTAGTCAAGTTTATTTTACTTGCACCATTATTCATTATCATTGACGTTTTGTACCTAATTGTTATCAATCCGCGACTTGGTGAATGTTGTTAGGTTCAGTGTCGACGAATGGTATAGACTACATAGGTATACATTGCCATATAAACATATTTTGATAAGGCGCCAAAACTAGAGTTTGTCCGTCTGCGGTCTGTGCTTAGATTTATAGGGACAATTTCGAATAAAAACGTTGTAGGTATATCATTGTAGAATATCTTTTCGAGAATAATGTTTATTTCAGCCTACTAATTTTTCTTTCACTATTCGACAAAATGTTATATTACACTTAATAGTGTAATATAATATTAATACTTAAGTATTACGATTACATGGCGGGTTACACAAACGTTCATTAAAGGTATAATGAATTAATAGACGTTTAGTGGTTTCTTCAACATAATTTAGTTGCCCGTGATTGATCCATTTAATTTTAATTAACCATTCAATGTATTTTTATGCAACCGGCAATAGTACATTATTGTACTATTGTATATTATTTCCCGCCTAAATCGAGTTTTGAAAATCTCTTGTTTTATTTTAATAAAAAAAATTATTTTATTGATAACATTCTTATCAGTCTTAGTTTTCGAAAATCGGTCATGTTTTTGTACTGATTATAATGCTTTATTGTTTACGTCTCTTATTGAACGACTTACACGACAGATTTATTAAAAATTATATTTTTATTTCCCAATCTGAACATATTGAATTTATTAAAAAGCTCCGTTCATGTGCCAGGTATGAAGTATAATTTAAATATATTTATCCATGTGTGTATTATATTTCAAACCGTTTGTTGTAGACACTTTTAAATGGTATAAGTAAACAAAAATCATGCTACCGAATTGATATGAAAGTTACCTTTCGTTCATTCAAGCAAAATGTTTGGTGTGTTAGACGTATTTTATGCTCATAACACATGTGTGTATGTATATATTTGAGGAACGGCGAACCGCAGTAGAATAAAGCGGCAGTGTTTTGTTTCGGGACAGGTGACCCCAATGAAAAAAACACAATAACTAACTCCATATCTAGCTAAATATCAAACTATTTTTTTTATCAGTATTATGTTATGCTAAAAGTCAACGTTCAAAAATGTTCTTCGTTAAGCAAATAGAAAAACATAAAATCAAACGCGTAGAGTAGATACAAATTTTGTACAGATTTCCTTTGTTATCGTAGACGTCTATTTAATGATAATAATTATGTTTAATACTTACAGGCCGTAAATTCTGGAAATTAGAATGAGTAAGTATACGAGTGGCTCGAACTCGCGTGACAGAAATAGAAGTTATAGTCGTTATTATAATCGAAGACACAGGTGAGCATCAATATTAATTTTTCTCAATGTTCGAAATCGGGTTTTTTTTTAGAATGATTAATGTAGGTAATTACATTTATTATACGTTTATGTATCAAGGTTACATAGGTTTTATAGTAAAAATGTACGTATACAGAAGAACCACGATTATCCAAACTAACTGGGACCAGACCTGGTTCGGATAGTCGATAGTTTGGATAATAAAAATTTTTTTTTCACCTTAAAAGTATAACTAGAAAAAAAGAAAAAGAAATCGTGCATAATTTTTGTTAATATCTTAAGAATTTGTATTTTAATATAACAGATTTACAAATAGTATATAATAATAATATATTCAATAAAAGTTAATGCAATAGTTATAATTTTTCATTGCTGAGAAGCAGCGACTGGCTTTTGAGCAGCTAAATTTTTTCGTGCGTGTTGACGTACAGATAACAGAACGTTTAGATACGCCAAACACAATATTTGAATTATAGAGTGTACGGATAACAGAGGTTATTCAGATAATCGAGATTCTACTGTATCTTACGTGTATTTTCTGACTAAAATAATATTTCTTTATTAATACCACAATAAGTCGTCAGTTAATTTACATTTTTTCCTATTGTTCTAAACCTTAAACTTGATGTTATTTAATCTTATTCTCATAAGTTCTACAAACTGTATTTACTTTAGTTGTATTTATTCACATGTAAATGTTCTGTTCCGCCTGGTAGTAGTGCAAGTAATGCATAGTGCAAACACACTTTGAGATTGTTACTTTTGTGAATAAATGATCAATTTTACAAAATGTATCATATTACCAAAAAAAAAAAGAAGTTGAAATTTTGTTTTACATAGGCTATTACATTACAAAAAGAAAAACCATTATTCAGTAAAAAAATATAAAGTTTTGCGAGCTGTTGAAATAATATCAAAAACATTTAAATGATCATTGTTTTAGAAAATGTTCATGAAAATGAATAGTAATAATGTGAATTTAAATAAAAAAAATAAATAAAAAATTATTGTTCAAAATGTAGCTGGTTTTGACTGATTCTGTAATCAATAAACAACAGATTTAATTTTAAGTTATTTTCTAATATTTGTGTTATTAATATTTGATTTCCTGCCTGAATGGGATTTTTAATATATTTTAAGTATAAAATATATATAAAAAAAATTGTTTGCAACAATATTATACAAATTTCTCTTAATAAAACAAATATACTTTGTATAAAGTTGGTTGATTTCTTCTGTTGACAGCTGGTAATTTAGTGGGTTTAAAAATATACAAAAAGTATGTAACCTTATGTACAAATATATTCTATATTAAATATAACAATATATGATTCTTATTTTGTAAGTGTTTAAAAATTATATTTAAAATACTTAAAAACTATTTGAAGAAAAATTTAATTAAATTGAAAGTTTGGTTCGAAGAAAATGCTAAGAACGAATCTGTACATTTTACAGTATCAATGAAAAACAAAATTGTTATAAATGGGTTTGATAAACAATACAAAATCTGGGAAGTGTTATGATTCTTAAAATAGGTGTAGATTAGTTTATAGCTATTAATATACAAATACATCTATGTAAGTATATACTTAACCGTCGAAAGGCAGCTCCTAGGTCTAACTTTAGACATTGGATTAGTGACCTAACTGATCGACACTGGAATTAGTTTTTTCAATTCGGCATGCCTTAGAGAAATTTTAAGTGAAATGCTCACCAGTGTCAGTTTTTTATTTAATTTATTTTTTTACCTAATACCTGCTATGTTTGTTTTATTGATGGTCATTCATTTTTAAAAATTCAGTATTACTTAAAATAAAATAAACCAAAAAATAATCAATAAACAAATATATTTTTTCTATTTATTTGTTATTTTATTTTAGCAATGAAAAATCTACAATAATTTGTATTTTACTAAAATAATTGTAATATTTTTTTAACAGGAGTCCATCGTCGAGTTCCGATTCATCGAACGACGATTCGAGATCGTCTAAAAAACATCACTCGAGTTCCTACAAATCTAAAAAGTAACAAATCAATGAATTAATTTTACATGGAAATTCAATGCATATTTTAGAAACACATTTTTATGTATTTTTTCAACATATTAATTTATTTGTAATTTTGTTTTGTTTTTGTATATTTGTAGGTATAAAAAAAAATCAAAATCGTCAAAATCAAAACGGAGATCAGATAGTTCGTCAGACAATTATGCACCATCTAGACACAAATCCTCGTATTCAAGTCGGTACTATCAAAGAGATAAATCTTCAAAAAATCACCGCAGAAGCAGCTCGTCTACAAGTAGTTCAAGTAGTTCAGAATCTTCACACAGTGATAATAAGCACCGCAATTCCAATACTAGTGAAAAAAGTAAAAGTTCGCAATCACAATACCGATCAACTTCCAATGCCGGCAACAAAGAAATCACTGTTAAACCCCAGTTAACTTCAAATGCTGGCAATGGCGAGGTTACAGCTGTTAAATCCGAAATAAATGACAATACACAACCAACCATAGATTGGCTTCAAAACAATGATTGCGGTAGGTGTACGGTTAAAATACACTGTTACATTATACACTTTATTACAATTCACAGTTCTCAACTTTTTAATATACTATTTCAGACGATGCGATGAATCTGGAAAACGCAATCGAGCAGATTAATCAAGAAGGATTTGTGTTTAAAGTGTTCAAGCCACAGTCGGAACAAAAGAAAGAAGACGAAAGCATAGAAGATATATCTAAAATTTCTGAAGAAATTATCAATAGTTTACCGATTGAAGAATCTGCTTTTATAATTACCAATCGTGATCGGCTGTTACATTCCAAAGTAATCATTGTTTTTTTTTTATTCGACTGTTTATTTAACTATTTTAGCTCTGCTGCGTAGCTGAGAAGACATTGTTTTTACAATGATGTGTTTTTATTATTTGACGAGAGCGAAAAATCCCCAAATGAAGACGAGTTAAAAAAAAAATCAAATTAAAACAATAATAATAATAAAATAAATTGTCATCTATTCGTTACATCTGATATTTTCTTATTAGCTTTACTATTTATTATAAAACCTGTCATATATTAATACATTTGAACTTAAAAAAATAAAAAATGATTATGTAATAATATTGATAAACCCCAAAATAATATCATTAGCTCTTTTCTCTAAAATTAATAAAAACATATACTTTATTTCCCTTCTTCGAGCAATGTTTTCAGGCTTTGGTCAAGGTAGATCTAAAATGTGGCTATAACGTGTACGATTTCCTTAAAAACCTGTTATCAAACTTATTTTTATAAACGGAAACCCAAAAATAAAGAGGAAAATTGCATTTGACTGTTATAAATTTCTCAGTTTCTATTAGTGAGTGAAACAACAGATATTTGAAAATATTTTCATTATATCGTTGACTAATATTTGCCTATTAGTAACAATAGCAAATAACTTAACGAAAAACCCAACCAAACCTAACAGAATATTAAATGAAATACAATTTCAAACACGTTTTGTCCTTTACAATAATTTTTAACGTCAACCCTAATCGTATCCACCGTAATACTGAAAATACAATATCAAATGCATTATCGTCATTACTCATTATAATGCTTTTATCGATACTTGGGTTTCTAACATCTATAAATTTACACCAAAGCGTTAAAATGATTCCCGTAAATCTGTGACCTCTCACCCCATTAAACTATATTTCCACTATGCTCTGACCACTAAACTGGCTTTTTTTTTTTTATTGCAGTATAAACTATTAACGAAACAAGAAAGAAGTATCAACTGGGCAAAACATTTGTTCTCATCTGTCGACTTATTAGAACACAATGTCGGTGATTGAAAAAGCTAATTGTAATATGTTTATATAGACTTTTTTTTTACAAAAAACACAATGACAATTTACCAAGAAGTTGTACGTAACTTTACAATAAAATTCATATTTTATAAATTTAGCATTTAACAATTTTGTAAGTACTTATGTATAAATTGTTTTTTTCTAATAATATACCACATTTGAAACGAAAGAACTGTATAAACTGCAACCGCAACGCTTTATACTAATGACTTATGTTATTTAGTTTTACTAGTATTATGACACTGTTGTGTTTTCTTTATTATAATTGGCTCTATATGACATTTAGTAAATGCTGTATTGAATTTTTGTGATTATTATTATACTAAAATTAAATGTCTCAATTAAAATGTTAAAAAAATTATTTTAAATGAAATAATTATTTTTTTAAAGTTATACTGAAGTATGCATTGGCTTTATTAGTTTTCCAATAAAATCTATAAAATACAATTATTATCCACCTATATTATATTAATTACCTACGAATTGTCTTATAATATGAAATTTAATTTTACTCCGTTATAAGATGGACACTTCATTTTATAGAGCGAATTATTTTTCTGATATAACCTGAGGTAGGGATTTGTAAGTCCTAAACATATTTTTTTTCAAATTAACAACTAATCAAATAAAATTTAATACTTTGTTTTGCATCTGACAATCAACGTGGGCATGCTTTGGTCTTCGATCGATGTTGACCGATTTTGGTGTTAACAATAGTCCGTTCCTTTGGCTATATAGTATAATATGTTACAATTAACAATAACAATGTTTGATGTTACTAGTTTTTTTTTTTTAAATAATGCAATAAAAGTACACGATCAGAATGGTGTAAAATTAAGTTGGTTTGAAATTTCAAATTTTTGTACAATATAATTTTGAGTAGCATATTATGTGTGTTGTAATAACGTACCACACACAGTTAGGTTAGGAAATGAACAAATAAATGTATTAAATCAAGAATTCTTTACACCGAACCACTCACCTTTTTTCAAATAGGTACATTTAAATTTTTAGTTATTTTAACATTAAATATGGGTATATTTATTTTTTAACTTGTAGCTTATTAATAAAAAAATTATAACCTATGTTAGAATTGCCTATGCTTTTATTAGAATTTTGTGAAAATTAAACGAAATAGATCATATTTTGGCTTATTGGTATAACAATAATTTATTCTAATATTCGATAGTTTCAATAAAATATCTACAATTATTCAACTGATTCGATTGTTTCCTGATATATCGATTCGATATTATCGAATAACAATCGATTGTACAAACAATTTGTGCACATATTATTATTATGGTTGTAATTTTTTAATTATAAAATTCTTTTTTTTCTTACCAGTTTTTTTCTACAGATTTAAACCAGATTGTGCACTCAATGTTTATCAAAACAAAAAATCGATTCGATAGTTATTACTACCGAGTCCTCGAATAATATTAATTAATGTCACCATAATATTATTATTTTTAAATTATTTATTTTCCAACTACAGTGTTCTTAAATTACATATTATGTTAATCCTAAGTACAGACGATTATGTGTTTTGTTCTCTGTACTCATAAATTTCTTAAGAATAAATAACAGTAGCGAATCTAGAGTTTACTGAAAGAGGCAAATTTTCACACTAACTTTGTTAGTTGTAACTAGTCATTTCTTTTTAGTCTATAATATTACATTTTTGTTTTGCTAAAGATTTTTTATTATATTAACACATAGAAAAAACATTATCTATAAAGAACCTACACAGATTAAATGATTTAATTTAATTTGTGGTACCTTCATCTGATTTAGATGTTCTGAATTTGATATATTTTATCAAATATTTATCACTGAGGCTATCAAACTTTTTGACTTTTGGCGCCCTTTTTGAATTGATATTTTCCCACGGGACCCTTTCCTAAGTCAAACCATGAATAATAATCATAAGGAGCAGATACAAATATGTAGCAAATATAAATTATATACAATTACAACTTATTTTACAAAATATAAAGTCAAACAACTGTATTATAGAATAAAAATGCTTATATATATAATATATATATATTTAATGTAACTGGGGGATGTCGCTTGGGCTAGAAACCTAATATTTGAGCTCAGTGTATAATCATTTTTAGACTAAACATTCTAGGTACATAGTACAACTAGGTCAATAAACACGGTGTTCAGAAAAAAGTGGTAAACATTGGTGTAATAAGTTTAAATCCCAAACTTAATTTTTTTGACAGTACTCTTATCATATTAAAACGTAAAACAACCCCATTGCTTTGTGTCCCTCTTGTTTGAAAATTAGCTAAAAAGCCCCAAAAAACATGTAATTTTTGTTAAATTTTCATTTTCTGGCAGCAATTTTGACAGGTAGGAATGTACGTTTTGGGCACAGTGTTCGTGTTCAGCAAACTCCAAGCTATAAAATCATCAAAACTTCAGCTTAAACTAAGAAGTAGGAAAAAAGTTGTGCTTTGATTTGTGCACGATGTCGAAATCCTATGTTAAATCTCATTTAAACTTAATATTTTTCAAATTTTTTTTTGATCGTATTTTAATTGTGTTAAGAAACTTTTTAGCGGGCGTCGAGGTTAAAATTCCAAAATCGACGTTTTAAGGACTACTCTATATATAATTTGATTCGAAGATTATGTCTCAAATCTTCGAATCAAATTAGCCATTCTCATTTCCTTTTCTACATTAAATTTGCTCGAAACGCAGATAAGAGGTTAAAAATGGAATAATAATACGTTGAACCTTATCACTTAGACGTGGATAGGTATCATATATTATTGAAATCCAAAATTCGATAAATTTTCTCTTTCAAACGGCTGTACAGTGGCGTGGCGTGGGTATTAAAAGGATGTAAGCAGTGATATTTTTTTCAAAAGTCATTAGAATACTAATAATAAATTTTGTAAAAACAAATTTCGTCCTTTTTATGTTTTACAGTTATAACAACATTAGAAAACGTTATTACAAATACGTTATAAATATAAATTATATTTACTTAAACCATGTTTATTGTAAAAATGGAATTTAATAAAATTTCATTTAAAACTTAAATCTATTCTTCTGGGTTTCTTTGAGTAATCTTCAATAACGTCATCATAAAAACAGTTTTTTTTTTTAATTTGGGTCAGTAATTTTTTTTCAATTGATAAAATCGATAACGCTGAAAGTCTATTTTGTGACTGGGAGTTTCTTAAATATGTATGTATCCTTTTCAATGCAGAAAATGAACGTTCAGCACCTGCACTTGTTGCTGGAATTGTTAAAATTAAAGATGCTAATTTTGTAACTTGTGGTAAACTTTCAGTAAGACCAGTTGATTTGAGATATACCCAAAGTTCGTGAATATTTCCTTTATGAAATTCGGTTGATGAGTACACAATAGTCAGTTCACTTTTTAGTATAGAAAAATCAAAATATTCACCATATGAATCTTTCAACGAGTTCATAGAACTTGTTGGAAACTGATTATCAAACTGCTCAGATTTTGAAAAATCCAATAATGAAAAAAATTTTAATTTGGACATTTCAGAAAATCTTTCATTAGTTTTTGATATCAGTACATCAATGATTTCAAAAAAAATAGCCTTCGATAGTTGGTTTTTTTGTCGTCAGAAACTTCAGTTATTCGTTGTCTTTTTGATCTTAATGGTATTTCAGAATTTAAATACTGTTCAGACTTAGACCAAATTTGATCAAAATTATTCCTCATATTTTTTAAGTGATTAATAAAATCTAAAATTTTTGCATTACAATAAGTCACATCAAATATTTTTGTTTGCATTATATTAAAAAGAATTGTTGCCCGAGGTAAAATATTACTAAATATTAAAAGAAAAAGGTTGAAATCAAAATCTTGTATTGTTTGAAAAAATCCTCTAGCGCACGATAATGTTTCACTGTCCCACTTTTCACCATTTTCTATAATTGAGGTCATAAGGTTTAATACTTCTTGTCTATACTCGGACATCATTTCAACGAGTCTACTGTTATAATTCCATCGAGTTGGGGCGACTGATGGAAATCTTTTTTTTACTTCTTGTTCAAGTGCATGAATTCTTTTTGTAGATTTTGAAAAAAAAGACGAAAGGCCAGAAAGTGTGAGAAAAAATATTTTACATTCTTTTATGTGATCAACAGATTGTTTTAGTATTAAATTAAGTTTGTGTGCGTAACAATGTACAAACATTGCATTTTTGCATTTCGATCGAACTAGTGCCTGCAAGCCATTATGTTGCCCTGACACGACGGCTGCTCCATCATAAGTTTGGGCTATTAATTTATTTTCACATTTATATTCTTGTAAAATATTAAAGGTATGTCCGGCTAAGCATTTGGCAGATCCCAATTTGGCAGAACGTCTACAAATCCCAAAAATCTTTCCTGTACCCCTTCATGTGTCATACATCGCATAATTATCGATAACTGAGATTTGGACACAACATCTGTGGTCTCATCCATAATTATAGATACAAAATCAACATTTTGCAATAAATAACACGTTGCATCAATTAGCCGACTTATAACATAACGATTATTTCTTATTGTTTCGTTATGTTTTTCGATATTTCTTTTATAAGCTTCGCTGAGACATGTTTCTATTCTAACATTACCAAATTTTTTTAAATTAATTAAACATTCAATATGAGACCGATTTGTTTCATGACGATGTTTTAAATTATGATAATTATTTAAATCATCACAACCAAATTTTGACCAAACGTTTGATTCGCGTGAAAATAAAAGACAAGGCCAGCAGTAGAGTTTTTGAGTTTTTTCACAACCAGTTAACCATTTATTTGAATCATAATAGGATGAATTACAATATCGAACATTTTTTTTGTTTTTAGATTTTAAATTTAAAAGTTTTGGAGTAGGTCTTCCTTCATTTATAATATTTTGTTTTACAGATAATGTATTAGATCCAAAAGATTTTTGTAACAACTGTTCAATGATACATTTACAATAATTATTATCATTTAATCGTAAATCTGAAGTATTTGCCAAAGAATCCATGTTATATATATTGAAGAGAACGGAGAATTTATGTAGCGAACAACAGTGTGTAGATAAGAAAACAATAAACAAACGCGAAATGACAATAAACGTCGAAAAAAGGTCTAAATTATACTGATAATTGTACCGTCGGCGCTAGTCACTACCCGCATAAGCAGAATCAAATGTGCTTACAAACTGTAGCTTAATACGTGGCCCCCTCCATGACACTAGACCATACAGAAACAACGACAGCACGTAAGCAATTTTAGAACGTGTTACACGGTATATTAGGTGCGATATGCCAATAACAATAAATATCAAAAATAGATCGTCACTCGATGGGAAATAATAGTAGGTAGGTAATCGGCGGGTAGCATGGCCACACATGGCAAAAAGATAACGAAAACAACTACGAGTTACGACTTCAAATAAATAAAAATATGATCTTGAAAATAATTTACAATGTACTAATCTTGAATGATCGATTTTCTTTTTTCTTCGATTTAAAGTGTAAGCAGTGCTTACAGTGCTTACATGCACACTACGCCCCTGCGGCTGTATAATTGTCGCACGACAACTCAATAAGATTTTCCGTCTTTTGCAGATTTCATCCGTGGAAATTTATCGATATTGTCATTATGTAAGTACCTATTTATTTCAAAGAAGACAAGATGACCTGTGATAAAATAATATGTTCATTAGCGGCGCACAGTTTGGCAACCTCTGATTTATCATATTTATATATTTTTTTTTTTTTTTAAATAAGGGTAGGCCACATATATGAGTCACGCGTCCCAGCATGACTCATCGTATTTACTATTATATATATATATATATTTTTTTTTACAGGGTAGGATATTAGTCACCAGTCACCACCCCTAGTGATGACTAATAATTGGGCGACGGACGGATGTTTATAAATCGCGGCAATGGCGGTAGATACCGCGAGCGCTTACCACCGACGCGCAGGCGCACTACGTCCCTCCTGGCTGTATTTAAAATCAATATTACCAGGTCTGCCGTCTCCGCCCTCCAACTCCCTGGTCCCAATATCTCAATTAATATGTCCGTTGCCATTTGCTGCCTCTGCTCTCTCGTATCGTGTCGTAGTTTCGTTTAGATGTGATTTATTTTTTTTTAATAATAATTAAATTCGTACAAAAAGGTATCTAAAAAAACCCACGTTAAATCAAATTGTTTATTTCGATCTGTGCCCGTTATATGTGATAACCATCATTCGCGGTACGTTCGATTTTATTGTTTTGTTTAGCGAATAGAATAATTTATCATACACAAGACGTACATTTTCGGTTTTTCCCGTTGCGGTAAAAATATTTCCAAGTAAAAACAAGAACAGTGCGTGTTAACAGTTGTTATTACTTATTTTTTTACTGTGTGGCTCGTTGAAAAACAACAACGTAATACATTTTATTACCGCACTATTAATACACCAACATTTTTGTTCGAAAAACACAGTTTTTTTTTTTAACTTTATTAGTGAGAGTCTAGTGTAGTCTAATTCAAACGACAAAATGTTTCCATTGACCGTTTTGGCATACGATGCATGCAGCGAACAGCAAAAGTTATATTATGACAATTTGAACAACACGGCCATGGACATAGGGCCGTGTTGCAGTAATATAATTAAATTCATTAGGGCCAATAAACGGTGTACTTACATTTCAAATGTCTGTGAAGATGCAGCGTGTTGCGGACATTTGAAATGTTTAAAATTTGGACACCTGAATGGAGGGTCATGGACTAGGTCAACTCTGCTAAGTGCTGCATGTAGCAGTAATTTGGATTGTCTGAAATATGCACTCGAGAACGGATGTCCATGGAGAAGTAATTATGCAGAGCGAGTTGAAGATTCTTTTTGTGGTATGTCTAGTGGAGGAGAAGAGGTATGTACTGCTGCCGCTGGTACTGGCAACTTGCAAGGTTTGAAGTTACTACACGAATATGGCTGTCCATGGAATAAATCTACAACTTTGACCGCTGCTTCTTACGGATACATGGAATGTCTGACATACGCAATTCAAAATGGTTGTCCTTACGATGCTAAAAAGGTAATTTACCTATACTTGGTATGTAAACATTTTTTTTTGTTGTATATAAATGTATTTTATAAGAATATTGGGGTACATCGTTATTTAAACAGGCCATCAAAATACAGTGTGGTCTATCAATTTACCTATGTCTGTAATCTCGAATCTTAGTTTGAACTCGTTAGGTTAGTAGTCGGGTTAGCAGCAGTAGTGAAGCGTCATAGAAGACGATTGGATATTTACCAATTTTTTATTTAATTCAAAATTTAAATAAGTTTATAAATTTAAGTATGATACTATATAATATTTTTCACAACACATTATTTAAGCTATCATAATTATGTTGTATATGATTTGCTAATTATCTAAAAAGACGTTACTTAAAAATTAACTATACGTTCATTTATTAATATTTTGTCTACGCTAGTAGCCCTTTTAAATTAAAATAAATATATATCTATATAATCGCTGCCGATATAATTCTTTATACGTGTTAAATGTTAAAATAAAGGAAATATTAATGCACTATTCTGAACTTTAATACCTAATTATAACATTTTTTTCTTTGTAAATCACTAATTCTATTAAAGTATTAAAGTAGTTAATTTGTGTGAGATAAATAATAATATTTAGGTCCTTACAGGCCAATAGGGTTTGTTGTCTATAAGACTAGCTAGATTAACCGATTTAGGATTATTACAAATTAACGTGTAAGTTTTATTTTAATCTAGGCCTATTTCTACGTACTAAGCATTTATTTTACAATAACATTTGTTGGAAATAACAAATAAAAAACTCTTATTATTTAGTTTTTCTAACAATACTTTTGATAATTTATTGATTAATATAAATTGGTACCTATGTTGAAAATTCCTAAAATTATTTTTATGAAATTCTAATCAGTCTCTGTTGAAACCACATAACAATATAACATTCATTACACAATTAAAACAATATTTTGTCATTATAACAATCATCAGTTATTACTAATAATCTTTTTAAATATGGTCGTGTATATTAAGGATATATTTATTATATTTATGTATAATATAGCTGATATTATGTCATATTCAGTGATAGAAAATTCAAAATGTTTTTTATTTCAGATTGAAACTGCCCTATTGAAGAAAAAGTAGAGAAGAAGTAGAGAGCGGAGAAAAAATGGAGAGCAGCTCAAACAAAATTGGTTGTGTTAAAAAATATTGCCTAGTCCTGAAATAAGACTGAACCTATGTCAACAGACGACTGTTGCAAAGTTGTAAATATTGATACTATTAAAATTATATTTTACTTTTTATTAAAACTAGTTATTTTTACATGTATATAAAATTATGACATATTATTAAGACGCATAAAGGATGTGAGTGTGGAAGCGTGTCTATAAAGTAGGTTTGTACTAATTAATCTATTTGTGCCATTTTTTAATTTTTAATTTTATTTTTATCCAACATTATTTATTAATTAGCGTTTAATAAATCCAAGCTCTTATTTTTCAAAATATTATATTGACTTAGTAAATTTAAACATTGGTTGTACCTTTGAAGCTAGTTATTTAATTGAAATTTTAGGAGAAAAAGGCAGTGTTAGTATGGTATTACTTTTTCGCATCTTACTTAACTTATATTTAGCACTTGCGTTTAAAAGCAATGGATAACAAATACTTTGTAATTGTTTCTTGTATTTTATCAAATTGTATGCATTGTAGACATTTTTGGATAAATTGTATAATCTTAACTTTAAGTTGAAATAACAACAACAGAAAAAGCCTTAAAAATTAAAATAGTAAAAGTACCTAGGTATATTTTATACTTATTATAGCAACAAAATTAATATGTATACAATATAGTTTGGCCAACCCCAATTGGGTGAGATAGGGTGTAGAAGAAAAACAAGTATGCATATTTTTGTTAAAAAAAAAATTATAATAATTTTAGTTAATTGAGTTATTAGTAATTGAGGATGATTAACGTATCCATTTGGTATTATTTAAGAAAAAATATGATACCAAAGCTTAAAACTCACAAATAATATTCTTATTTTATCTTCGATGCAAACTATGAGAAGGTGTCTATTTTTTTAATTTAGGATATTAAACAATATTTTACTAATTAAATACACAGTAGATAATATAGTTAGGTAAATAATAGTATGTTCATACATTTTGTTGTAATTAAAAAAAATAAAAATGTATAAGATAAACCAGAAGTTGACTTGAATAATAAAATTCCAAACAAATTAGAAACACCGTTAGTTTTGATTAGCGTTGAACGCTGACTACCAAACATAAAAAGAGCACATGTCTAGATTGTAATATTTTTCATAAAAGAAAAAACTTAATAAATAATTTTTCTGAAAAATATTTAATTATACTTTTCATGTTATTAAATAACAGAGCATTAGATAACATATAATTACTTCTACAATTATTTAAAGACTTGTTATACAACTTCTAGGCACCTTAAGGGTTTTAAGGTCATGGACATATGCCACTTATGCATAAAATTACTATAAATTTCCTTTGAATAATTTAAAAAACATTTATATATTGTCAACTGAAATTTGTGATTACATTTTTTTTCAGAAATATTAAGGTTTTTGTCTTGAAAATTTAAAATCTGAACATTTTTACACGGTAAGTTAGTTTAGTTGTTGAACCAACTTTAACTTGGTAGGTAACTTAAAATGTATAAATGACTGTCGCTGGATAACCTGATAAATTACTTCTCATAAAACGATTTTAACCAAATAAAACCAATTTTTATTTTACATAATATGTTATATGATATACTTTTAGACTACAATATTATAAAAAATAACATACAAATATAAATGAAATATAAATTTGATTTTAGTGTATTAAACGTAATAAGGAGATATTAAAATTGTATCAAATAATACATTACAAAAGACATATTTTTTCTATGAAAAAAATGAGTGAGAAACTTTAGGTAAAATGAAGTGTATCGAACTAGCCAACAAAGAGCTTGTAACTAAAATTATTTTTTTGAAAATCATTTTAACAAATCGAATTTGGCATAATATAACGTGAAATGTTTTATAGTGCTAAAGTTAATTCCCGTTTTGTAGTGCTATTAAAAATATAAATGTAACAAATAAAGTTGAAATTTTTAGCAACTGAAGACATTTATAACATTTATTACAAAAAAAAAAAATATTAATTAAAGAGAGAAATGTAATTTATGTTTTAAAACCAATTAAGAAAAACAAAACGTTCATAGACAATTCGAAATCTATGTTTCCTCATAATTTTTTTTTGTTATAATATTTTTATGACGAATTTGGGTTATTATAATTTAATTAAAATAAGTTAATTGACGAAGTTAAAGGAGAATAATTGTTAAAAATAAATTTAACAACTCATATGTTTAGATATTTAATCTAATTATGAAAAACATTTTAAATTTTTAGGAAAAGTCTCATTAATAAAATTACGAATAACCCAAAATTTTACATCTTTTAAAATATCTTTTAAATAGTTTACTAAATTTTTTGCACGTTCAATAGTACCCAACATCTTGATTTTGATTTCTTTCCTACTCGTTGTGGTTTTAGTAGCGCCAGTTACATCTTTGTCGTTGATTTCACAGTCCTTGAGCTCAGAAGATATTTTTTCCGATGATCCGGTATTGTCGTTGCCCATTATCTTTGTATATCTAAAACTGTCATATGTTTTCAATGTGCCCAGCAAACAATTAATACTATCACACATAAATTGTATTTGTGTACTACACAGACATAACCCACCCTTTTTTTCCCACGTTTTTAGTTCGTTTATTAGTACCCAAAAATCGTCCTGGTAGTTTAACTCTAAGAAATTCGCGAAATTCGTCAAATTAAATTCTAATTGACTTACATATTTTTTTTTTGGGCAAAATTTCAGTGAATTCAAGTGGTTCATAAATGTCCGAAAAATCCGTAACATTATTGTTTTTAACATTTGAATAAAATGTCTGTGAAGAGATTGTAGCGAACTAATAGTATCATATAACGGTGTCTTTGGATTTTTAACCGATTTCATCAATGTAGACAGTCCATCAACAATTTGGTCACTATTTTCTAAGTATCCAAAACGTGTAGTCAGGGTTTCCATTATCTCTTTGTCCTCAATTATGTTGTTCAAATATAGCCGGTCGAAATCAATGTCTTTGACGTCGTATTCTTTTATTTTCTGCCGTTTACAGAAATCTGTAAGCTTATTTAATGCTAAACTATGATCTAACGTTGATACACCACGAGAAATGATTTTAGATGATTGGGATTTATTATAATCAATCGAGCACTCCTCTGGCATAACTTCTCGAAAATATTCTAAACCATTATTATAAAGTTGCTCCATTTCGTGGTTTATTTCTTTATTGTTGGACATCGATGCCAACTGTTTCATTCGTTGTGTATAAAAAACAAATATCCACGCGAAGTGCAAAAAATTGGTTTGTTTAAAGTAATTAATGTTGTTAATGTTCATTGTTGTTACCAATATTTGTTGCGGAAACTTTCGACATGCATTCTCAATGCTAGCATTGATCATATCACCGTTTGCATAATTTGTCGGATGTCTCAAATGCATATAAAGTAACATATTATACGTTAAAGTGCATGTAATTCTCCAGATTGATTGATCAATGTAATTTTTCACTACGTCTTCTCCTAGATCATCGATTTTGAAATCAGCCAACTTAAAATTGGTGAATGCTCGTTCGTATTCTTTTACTTCTCTATAACACACTTCCAAATTCAAAATGTTATTATTATAGCAATTATCAAAGTTAAACATAAGTATCGCCATCCAAATAATAATGCGTTTCATTTTTAACCACTACTTTTTAAAGTTTTAAAACTTGTTTAATCACGTATACATTTGTACCTACACAACAGGATCAGCACGACTTTTCCACTGCAGTTGGTAAGATTATATAAAAATTAAACAACACATATTTTTTTCACATAAATTTACGAAAATAAATAGAACGAAAAAAACAATGCGAATAAGGTCACATCTGTGTTTAAACTAGAATCAAATGTTTACCTTATAACAGTGTTTAATTTTTTTTTATTTTTGACAAAACTTTTTACCAAAAACAGAAGATCATACTAACATGGATGTGTTTTAGGGATAGGGGTAATTCCAAAATTTTAATGGAAAATTCGTGTCGAGTTTACGCGTTTTTGACTTAAAGAACACTAACCCAACTGATGTGTCCAGTAAAGCGGATTATACTGTATTTTTCATACTACGAATGCCAGTATATAAAATACCTTCAAGTACTGTGTGTAAATTACACACAACTATTCGTCATTGTTTTTGGCGTTTTATTTTGCTCGGCTTCGCATCGAAGTGAATAACAAAATATGAGTAATAGCCCACACAAAAACTGTTCTCTAAATCAACACACAAGCGCATAAGCAATTTTACAAATTTAAAATTTCGCACACAGTAACGCTCTGAAAAATACTTTGAAAACAACATACTTTTCAATGTAAAGTTGTGAGATTAATTTTCGTACCCTGAACTGTTCTTGTATAAATCGTATTTAATAAGCCAATCCATTTCCAATGTGGTTGGTCAGTCAGGTTTTTTTCCCGCAACTCTCGCTTTCTGACTGTATATATTATATTATATCCTACACTATTTGATTTTGGTCACGCCACATTAGAATTCCATTTAGGTTATTCGGTAATTATTTATTTTATTACCACTCACCTGTCAACAGACAACAGCTTACAACGTATATCCGAAATAATTGTTTGCGAGTTTGAAAATAAAGCATACACTACAGCTGTATTTCTTGACATCACCAAAGCATTTGATCAAGTTTGGCACGAAGGGCTTACTAAACAATTTAAATCTCTCAACCTTCCAGCGTACATACTCAAAATCCTAGATTCTTTTATCTTAAACAGATCTTTCCGAGTAAGAGTTGAAACAGATGTATCTAAATCTTACCCCGTAAAAGCTGGAGTTGCCCAAGTGTCAGTCTTGGGCCCTACAATATATTTTAACCCATACTGTCATGACATCCCAATACAGACAAATTTGCAACTAGCTATGTTTGTCGATGACACTACAGTCATCACCCAAGACAAATCTCTCAAGACAAAGCTATTCGCCAACTTCATAGCTCACTAAACGAAATCACTACACGGTTTAAGAAGTGGAAACTAAACCTAAATCCCAGCAAAACTGAAGCCAAAATATTTACTCTAAAAAGATACAACAATCCAATCTGTATTCAAATAGACAACGAAACAATTAATTGGAACAAGAAGGATGATACCGTCAAGCACCTAGGGGTTTTTCTAGATGGAAAGCTTACCTGGAAAGCAGATATAAACAAAAATCTAACCCAAAGCTACGCCAGAATGACAGTTCTTTACCCATTAGTGAACTATAAGTCCACTCTTAGGCGCTAAGAAATATGCAAGGGGGGGGGGGGG